TCGCCGCCCTGGGCCCGCTTCCCGGGGCCACGCGCACCAGCAGAGCTCCGCGTCAGGCGACTGTGGCGGGGCCGGCCGCCAGGGAAGGACCCACTGCTGTGTCCCGTCCAGAGCTAGCGCAGCGTGAGCACGGACCGAGCACCTGCAACAGGTGACCGCTGCCGGGCGGGAAGCGCCTGGCCCCGGCGAGCACAAAGCGGTCGTCAGCCGCTGGGAGAAGAAAAACAGATGAAAGAAATCCAGAAGCAGCCGCAGGTGGCAGGGTGAGGACCCTTCTGGAAGCCTGAGGACGTTCCCCGGGAATGGGGCCGGGGCGCATGCGCTTTGCACGGGCGCAGCGGGCAGGTGAGCAAGCGTGTCCAGCGCCCCGAGGGAACTGAAACGTCTGGGCCGCTCCTGGCCTGGCGGGGGTGACCGGCCGGTGACAGCCGCAGGGTCCGCTCCCCCTCACGGCCCACCCTGCGGCCTTTCTGGCGGAAGGCGGGTGTGAGGCGGCGCTCGCCCGGGGTGGCCTCCGGAGGGCTGCCAGTGCCCTTTCCGGGTTCTGCTGCCCACCTCCCAGCGGGTGCGGGAGGGGACCGTCACCGAGTCCAGAGGGCAGGTCAGGAAAGCCAGCAGCGGCGGCTCGGGAGGGGGCTGGGGGCTGCCGACTGACCGAGGTCCTGCAAAGGCGCGTTTCTCACCCCTGCCAGCGCCCCTGAAACAAACAGGAAGTGGGAGGCCACTCCCGGCTGGGCCAACGTGCGAACCCCGCGTGTGAACCCCGCTTTAGATGGTCCCGGCTGCAGCCGCCAGAGGAGAGACCCCACCCCACTCGCCCGGGCCAGCGTCCCGCCCCGCTTCCGCAGGGTCCCGGCAGCGGGTGCTGCCCGGCGCGGGAGCGCACAGTCATCTCTCAAGTCCCCGGCTCGCGGGGCGGGTGGCGCAGAGGTCAGCGAAATCCCCGCCGCCCGCCCGCCGCGTCTGAGTCACCAGTTTCCACTGGGCCTCCCTGGCCGCTGGGTCACTCCCCGGCCGACGGACGAAGCCCACCGCTGAGGGTCGGCGGGCGGGTCAGCAGGGGTCGGCCGCGCCACGGGGGTCACTCCCGGGGGTCACTCCCCGGCCGACGGACGAAGCCCACCGCTGAGGGTCGGCGGGCGGGTCAGCAGGGGTCGGCCGCGCCACGGGGGTCACTCCCCGGCCAGCACGGAACTCCCGCTGAGGGTCAGCGGGCGGGTCAGCAGGGGTCGGCCGCGCCACGGGGGTCACTCCCCGGCCGGCACGGAACTTCCGCTGAAGCTGCGGCCAGCGTCCGCCGCGCTGTACCTCAGCCGTGGCGCCCCGGGGAGGGCCTGGTTGGCCCTCACCGCCTGCAGGAGCCTGTCCGGTGGACAGCTGGCGCCGAGTGTCTCACTCCCCCGCGGCGAGGGCGAGGCGTCCACCTGGAGACTGATACGCGGAGCTCGACCAGGACCTGGGCTTTCTTGCCCTTTCCCAGGAGATCCGGAAGGGCCTCGGGTGCCCAGGGCCGCCGGTTTCTTTCCGGTGCGGACAAGCCGGCGCGGCAGCCCCGTGTCCAGCTAAAGGAAGCGTCGAGCTGCAGCTCGGCGCGCCCCGCTGGGCTCAGGGCGCTTTCAGAGGCGAGACTGACCGGCCCGGAGCATGTGCAGGGGTTGTCGCGTGCAGTTTCGCGGGGCTGAATTTCTCCATGAGGGAGCCGGGCCCGCTCGGGCGCCCACGAGCAGCGGCCGAAGCCTCAGCCGACCTCTGCTCCCGGTCCGTGCTGTGGCTGTTGCGTGTGTGGAGCCGGACGCACGTGCATTTCCCGCCGTCAGCTATGATCTAGGCAGCGCGCAGCTGCGAGGAGAGGCCGGCCGTGGCGTCCCAGCGGGGCCGCGTCGGCCCACGCCGGGCTGTGGGCTCCGACCTGCTGCCTCGGACGGGCTGGCCGGCCCTGAGCAGCCGTGGCCAGGCCCCCCGCCCAGCACCGGCCCTTCCATGCCGAGTCGGGCGAGGAAAGAAAACGCTTCCCTGCTACGCATTTACGTTCTGTCCACGGCTGTACAGCCCACGCGGACAGGGGGCTGCCGGGTGCCCGGAGATCCGCTGCGGCCTCGGGGCCTCCCGCCGGGCAGCCTGCGGCCAGCGGCT